CTCACTTTTCTCAATTCCGCCTCTCTAATGTCTCAGTTTCTTCTCCACTTCTCTTCCTCTCCCATGGCAAACGAAGACGAGTTTCGTTCTTCCATAGACCCATCTCAACAATCTCAGGATTACATCTCAGAGCCTTACATGGTGGGTTTCATCATCGCGAACATAGTAGGGTTAAAGTACTACTCAGGCCGAATCAACGGCCGAGAATTGGTGGGTTTGGTTCGAGAGCCTTTGAACCCGTACGACACAAACGCAATCAGAGTACTCAACACTCGATCAGTCCAAGTAGGTCACATCGAGCGTTCCGTAGCCGCCGTTTTATCGCCGTTGATTGACTCACACACGATCGTCGTCGAAGGTATTGTACCCAATACTCGTTCTACCACCAATAGGTTCAAAATTCCTTGTCAAATCCACGTCTTCGCGAAGTTAGAAGATTCATCTGCTGTTAAGTCGGCGATTTCGCGTTCTGGGTTGGTGTTGATTTCGGATTCCGATTCATCGTTTGGTTTATCTGAGTCTGTTGTGGTTAAGGAGCAGATGGGTAATGGAGATAACAAGAGTTTAGATAAGATTTTCAAGCTAGTTGATAAGAATGTGAAGCAAAAGGAGAGAATGGTTGTGGTTGAGCCGCCTAGGGAAGTGATTAAGTCAGAACTTTTTGCTCATCAGAAGGAAGGATTGGGTTGGTTACTCCACAGGGAGAAATCTGGGGAATTGCCTCCGTTTTGGGAGGAGAAAGATGGAGAATTCTTGAATGTTTTGACGAATTACCGCACGGATAAGCGGCCTGAGTCTTTGCGTGGTGGGGTGTTTGCTGATGATATGGGATTGGGTAAGACACTTACTTTGCTTTCTCTGATAGCTTTGGATAGATACGGCAATGCATCTTCGAGTAGGCCAATCGAAGAGCCTGTGGATGTTGAAGGAGACAAGATTGAAAAGAAGGGTAAAAAAAGAGGAAGAGGGAAGAGTAGTGAAAGTGGAACTCGAAAGAAGCTTAAATCTGATGATGTTGTTGGCATGAATGAGTCTCAAAAGACAACGTTGATCGTTTGTCCACCTTCTGTGTTATCAGCATGGGTTACACAGCTAGAGGACCATACTGTACCGGGAAGCTTGAAGGTGTATATGTATCATGGTGAGAGAACAGGCGATGTTAATGAGCTTAAGAAGTTCGATATAGTGCTGACTACTTACAGCATTTTGGCTGTCGAGGAATCGAAGGAAGATTCTCCTGTGAAGAAGATGGATTGGCTGAGAATAATTCTGGATGAGGCACACACCATTAAGAATGCAAATGCTCAACAGAGCCGAGCGGTTAGTAATTTGAAGGCTTCCTGCAGATGGGCTGTCACAGGAACTCCTATTCAGAATGGTTCATTTGATTTGTACTCTTTGATGGCGTTTCTCCGGTTTGAGCCATTTTCGATTAAGAGTTATTGGCAAAGCTTGATACAACGCCCGCTTGGTCAAGGGAATAAGAAAGGGCTTTCGCGTTTACAGGTAAAGAAATACACATTGCTGTCCTTTATGTGTTTTATTCTGTGGTGAAAAGTTATTCAATTACATGTTTTTCAGGTGTTAATGGCGACACTTTCATTGCGGAGAACAAAAGAAAAGAGCTTGATCGGTTTGCCTCCTAAGACTGTTGAAACTTGTTACGTTGAACTTTCTCCGGAAGAACGTCAGTTATATGATCACATGGAAGGAGAAGCTAAAGGTGTTGTGCAGAACCTTATAAACAATGGAAGCTTGATGCGAAACTACTCAAGAGTTTTGAGTATAATCTTACGCCTTAGACAGCTTTGTGATGACCTTTCTCTATGCCCTCCAGAATTAAGATCTTTCACCACTTCCACATCTATCGAAGGTAAAAAGGAAAACAGTTAGATATGCTTACTTTTGGTTGCAAAGCTTTAATCTTTGTGTGTTTTTGAAACAGATGTGACTGATAAGCCAGAGCTGCTACAAAAGCTGCTTGAAGTATTGCAAGATGGTGAAGATTTTGATTGCCCAATTTGCATTTCTCCACCAAAAGACATCATCATCACTCGATGTGCGCACATCTTCTGCAGGGCCTGTATTCACCAAACCCTACAAAGAATGAAACCCTCTTGCCCTCTTTGCCGTGGCTCATTAACCCAATCTGATCTCTACAA